AAATTGCAAAAGATGCAATACCGATGCTAACAAGTGTACAACCTGCAATACGGGATACGGAGTGAAAGTTGGCGCATGTCTACCCTGCACTGATGAAAATTGTATATTTTGCGGCAGTAATGCTAACAAGTGTGCAACCTGCAATACCGGATACGGTGTAAAAGATGGCGTATGTGTACCATGTACTGACAAAAACTGTAAAATATGCAGCACCGATGCTAGCAAGTGTACGATCTGCAATGAAGGCTACATGTTGAAGGAAGGCGTATGCATACAATGCACAGACAAGAACTGCAAATTATGCAGCATCGATGCTAACAAATGTATGATTTGCAATCCAGGATATGGTGTGAAAGATGACGCATGTGTACCATGTGCAGACAAAAATTGCGAAACATGCAGCACCGATGCTGACCGGTGTGCAAACTGCAATAATGGATACGGTGTGAAAGATGGCGTATGTGTAAAATGTACTGACAAAAACTGTAACATATGCAGCACCGATGCTAACAAATGTTTGATCTGCTATACAGGATTTATGGTGAACAATAACACTTGCGTACCATGTACTGACAAAAATTGTGCCATATGCACCACTGATGGTAGCAAATGTACGATCTGTAATACCAGATACGGTGTAAAAGATGGCGTATGTTTACCATGTACTGACAAAAACTGCGAAACATGCAGCACCGATGCTAATATATGTATGGAGTGCAATAACAGATACGGTAAGAAAGATGGCGCATGTGTACCATGTACTGACTATAAGTGCGAAACATGCAGCACCGATGCTAGCAAATGTACGATCTGCAATGAAGGCTACATGTTGAAGGAAGGCGTATGCATACAATGCACAGACAAGAACTGCGAATTATGCAGCATCGATGCTAACAAATGTATAATTTGTAATCCAGGATATGGTGTGAAAGATGACTCATGTGTAAAATGTACTGACAAAAACTGTGAATTATGCACCACCGATGCTAGCAAGTGTACAAACTGCTCTTCAGAATACGGTGTGAAAGATGGCACATGTGCACCATGTACTGACAAGGCGTGTTTTTTATGCGGCACAGATTTTATCAAATGTTCAATTTGCAATACCGGGTATACTCTGAAAGATGGTGCATGTGCACCATGTACTGATATATACTGTTTCCTTTCCAGCATTGATGCTATCAACTGTACGATCTTTATTACCGGATATGGTTTGAAATATGGCACATGTCCACCATGTACTGATAAAAACTGTTTCTTTTGCACCCATGATGCTAACGTGTGTACTACCTGTAATACCCGATACGGTGTGAAAGATGGCGTATGTGTAGCATGTACTGACAAAAAGTGTTTATTTTGCGGTACCGATGCTAACAAGTGTACGTTCTGTAATACCGGATACGGTGTGAAAGATGGCGTATGTGTACCATGTACTGACAAAAAGTGTTTATTTTGCGGTACCGATGCTAGCAAATGTACGATCTGCAATGAAGGTCACATGTTGAAGGAAAGCTTATGCATACAATGCACAGACAAGAACTGCAAATTATGCAGTATCGATGCTAACAAATGTATAATTTGTAATCCAGGATACGGTGTGAAAGATGACATATGTGTACCATGTGCAGACAAAAATTGCGAAACATGCAGCACCGATGCTGACCGGTGTGCAAGCTGCAATAATGGTTATGGTGTGAAAGATGGCGTATGTGTAAAATGTACTGACAAAAACTGTAACATATGCAGCACCGATGCTAACAAATGTTTGATCTGCTATACAGGGTTTATGGTGAACAATAACGCTTGCGTACCATGTACTGACAATAATTGTGCCAAATGCCGCACCGATGCTAGCAAATGTACGATCTGCGATGAAGGTCACATGTTGAAGGAAAGCTTATGCATACAATGCACAGACAAGAACTGCAAATTATGCAGTATCGATGCTAACAAATGTATAATTTGTAATCCAGGATACGGTGTGAAAGATGACATATGTGTACCATGTGCAGACAAAAATTGCGAAACATGCAGCACCGATGCTGACCGGTGTGCAAGCTGCAATAATGGTTATGGTGTGAAAGATGGCGTATGTGTAAAATGTACTGACAAAAACTGTAACATATGCAGCACCGATGCTAACAAATGTTTGATCTGCTATACAGGGTTTATGGTGAACAATAACGCTTGCGTACCATGTACTGACAAAAATTGTAACATATGCACCACCGATGCTAGCAAATGTACGATCTGTAATACCAGATACGGTGTGAAAGATGGCGCATGTTTACCATGTACTGACAAAAACTGCGAAACATGCAGCACCGATGCTAACAAGTGTACAAACTGTTCTTTCGTATATGGTGTGAAAGATGGCGCATGTTCACCATGTACTGACAAAAACTGCGAAACATGCAGCACCGATGCTAACAAGTGTACAAACTGTTCTGCAGGATACGGTGTGAAAGATGGTGCATGTGTACCATGCATTGATAAAAAGTGTTTATTTTGCGGTACCGATGCTAG